CCCCATCCCCCCACCCCCCGTCCCTCGGCCGCCCACGCACCCGCCCGCGAACCCCATCTCCCCCCCCCTCCTCCCCCCTTCCGCCCCCGCACCGCCGCCCTCCCACCCTCCTCCCACACACTCGCCCCATCCTCCTCCTCCTCCCCCTCCTCCGAGGCGAAGGACCCAACGCTCGCGCTTCTCTGCCTCTCCCCAACGCTACGTCATTGCATGGCCGCACCTGAACGGCATTAGACATAACACATAACAAACACTGTTTGCTAGTATACCGCGCGGTACGATTTTGGAAACTGAGGTTGCGCCTAGGCGATGCAGTCTAAAAGAATTGGTGGCGCGATCTAATATAGTAGGTGACGCAGTTTAGATGATGCAATCTAGCGTGGCTTGCGTCGCAGGCGCTGCGGTGCAACGCACTGGTTTGCACCGGCGCGGGGCAACGCCAACCGCGTCGGCAGCGCCGACCAAGCGGCGAGAGGGAGGGTGAACGGGGGGCGCAGCGGGGAACGATGGGGGAGGGGGGAGGAAGGCGATGCGGGGGCAACGCAAGAAGCGGAAGGAGTGCCTCCACAAGAGAGCGAAAGCAAATGGTGCATGGATGGCGCGGAAACGAAAGGAGGAGAGGACGTCGTCGTTGGCCGTCGGTCGTTGTCGGTCGTCGGTCGTCGGTCGTCGATCGTCGGCGTCGGCTGTCGGTCGTCGGTGGTCGATGGTCGGTCGCCCGTCGTTCTCGTCCTCGCCCTCGCCGTCGTCGCCATCGGCATCGGCGTCGCCGTCGATCGTCGTCGTCGTCGTCCGTCTGTGTTTCTACATCTATGCTTATTAAAGGGCACCGCAAACGGATCTTCTCTGGTTGGAAACCCCGCCGCCAGCATGCGTAAAACCCCGATGGCGCACAAGGGGCAAGTGAACGAGAGGGAACCCCCGATGCGCAGGGGGCACGGAGCGCGCGACGCGGCACAGCGGATGAGGCGGCGACACGCGCTCTGCGCCGCAGAAACGCTCGGTAGAACCCCTTGAAGGCGTGAAACGCGCGAGGGGCGGGGGGAGGGGTGGGCGGGTGGCAAATGGCTGGGGAAAGGAATGCGCACGCCCGACCCCAATGGAGCCTAGGCGCTTGAGCTGAGCTCGGAGCCAGCGCGGAGAAAGCTCGGATACCCCCACACACACACACACACACACACACACACACGCACGCACACACATGGAACCCTCTGGACCACGACGCAGGTGACGGGCCCCCCCGCGCATGGGGCGGCCCCACGCCCGCCGCCGCGTTGGGGCGGCTGCCGCGGACGCGGCCTTCCGCGCCCGCTGCCGCGGCCTTCCGCGCCCGCGGCCTTCCCTTTGGGGCCAGCGCGGACGGCGCGTGGGCCGCCGCCTTCGCCGCCTTCGCCGCCTTCGCCGCCTTCGCGCCTCTTCGTGTCTTCCGCTCGCGAGTCTTCTGCAAGATCGAACACCCCTATCGGATCGACCTTGACATCCAAGCGCGGGCGCGCCCAGCATCTTCTCAGAAAGCGAGCGTGTCCGAATCGCCCGCCCCCCCCCATTGGCTTTCTTCGTCGGGTCGGCCGCGAGGGGCCCCGCCGCCATGTTCGCCTTCTACTTCGCGGGCGGATCCGCCTCGGAGCTGGGGGCCGCCCCAATGTTCGGCGGCGGCGCCGCGGAATGCCTCGGCGCGAGATCTGCGGCGCCGCGGAATGCGCGGGCGCAAAATGTGCCAGCGGGAATCGTTCCGCAGCGTCCATCCAGTGGCCAGCATGCCCCTAGTGACCATCCCGCGGACGTTGGGAAGAAGCGCGACCTCGGCCTCGCGGGCGCACGCGGCCAGGTGCTGGATCTTCCGCCCCGCTCCCCGCCGCCCGCCCAGGGCAGCGGCGCCGCGGCGCCCCCCATGCGTCGGCGACGATGTCATGCACCCCTTCCGCGGGCACGCCGCAATAGAAATGCGCGGCCTGTCCGCAGTGGCCACGGCGCCGATCGGCGCGCGGGCTCCGCGCGCGCCAAGTGCGGCGGCGCCGCGCGGCGCTGCGCCCCGCGCCTCAAGCGGTCTTTCCGCGCTACCAGAACTTGGCCCCGCCCACAATAACA